TAGAATGTCTTTATTTCAGATATTATTCTTTAGAGAGAGAATTTTTGTAGTCCTGATAAGTATACATAAAATTATTTTAAAATTATGGCTTAAATTGCATTTTGGCATAAAGTAAATATTCAAGTAAAATTAATCCAACTAGCCATAGAAAAAATTTTTTATGGTGCAATAAAAGCTACTGTTAACTTTACTCCTTGAAATTCCCACCAATGAAAAGAAATCAAACATTTAAAATATGAATTTGTTTCTACAGAGTATATTTTTAATAGTAGAAAGTGCTTACCTCCTTCTCTAGTGCTAGATGCTATATCTCTTCAAAGTTTTTCCCTTTGTCCAAATCAAGATGGGCCAGACATTTTGTGAAAACCCTTACATACTGGTCTCAGAGATTTGATGCTTAGAACTATACGTGTCTCTTCTGTATCATCAGAATGATTACACAGATTCTTGGATCCAGGAAATGCATTTCCAAATAGTTTTGTATACTGTACCGTCATTTGGATATTCTATTATCTGTGTTGTATGTCTTTATTCATTCCTTTATTCAACAAATATTGATAGAGTGCCTACAATGTGCCAGGCTCCATTCTAGGAACTTGGAATGCACTGGTGAAAACAAAACAAACAAAGATTCCTGCTCTTGTCGGGAGCACTCTGTGGGGTGAGGAGGAGATGGAAAATAAACAATAAAAAAACAAAAGTAGCATATGACAGATGGTGGTAAGTACTATAAAGCTGGGCAAGGGAATAGGGGTTCTTTGGGGGCAAGAGGGTGAGAGGAGAGGTTACAATTTTAAATACGGTAGGATAAGAAGGTGATAAAGACCTTCAGAAGGTGAAGGAGTGAACAAAATGGGCGTCTGGAACAGGTTTCTAGGCAGAGGAGCAGCTGTGCTAAGGCTCTGCAGTGCGACTGTGTGTGATGTATTCCAGCCAAAGTGAGGAGGCCGGTGTGGCTAGAGCAGAGTGGACTGGGGGGATTATAGGATGTTTAGACAGGGAGGTCCTGGTGAAATAGGATGGGGGTCAGTATTATTTCATGTAGGGGCTTGAGAACATTTGTGAAGATCTTGGCTTTTCATTGGAGTGAGGTAGGAAGTTACTGGAGGGTTTTAACCCAGCCTTACTCTGGGTGCTGTGTAGGAAGACTGTAGCAAGGTCAAGGTGTTTATAGGGAGGTCAGTTGAAAGTCTACTGAGATAACCTAAGTGAGAGATAACTGTGGTTCAAAGCATGGTATTAGCCGTTGGTGGTGGCAAGTGGGCAGGTTTCTATCCTAGAGTTTATGGGACTTGCTGATGGATTGGATGTGGGTCAAGGATGACTCCAAGGATTTTGGCCTGAGCAAATGGAAGCCTAGGGTAATCATTAACTGAGAGGAAAAGGAGCACGATTGGTGTGTGTTTCTCAATAAGGTGCAAATTAGGTACAAATCTCATGTGATTGTACTTAGGTATAATGAAATTCTGGAGGTAAAGGAAGGTGTTAAAAATAACTTTGAAGAGGTAATACGGTAAGGGTGACGCTGAGGTAGGGGGCTATGTCTCACTTTTTATACATTAGATTGTTGGTGTAGAAGACATTTTTTAGTGATGTCTGATGAACCTTAGGTGCTTTAACTTCTTTCTGATCAAGAGTGGACAAAGGTATATGAGACATAGATAAAGAGCTACGCAGGCAAGCCCCAGTCATAGGCACCATCTGTCTTCATTATGAATTAGGGCAATCAAACATTTATTTTTGCAAAACTACTATTTTTTCATCATGACTACTTTTGTATTCATTACTGTGATTGAGTAATGTACATTATGAATATTTGGTTCTAAGAAACAGACAGAACTGCTGATAAAAAGAATGCGTAAATGCTTGTTGAGCCGCTTAATAAATAACTATTTGATGCTGATTCTGTAGTATGTTTAAAGGGCAATTCTTCTTCTGTTGCTTTAGAGAGTTCATTTGGCATTCCAAAAATGGATGTAATTTCAAGGGGTGGCCAAAATGTATCAATTAGCCTGACAGCTAGGTCTTTTTAACAGATCTATAAATTTCCAATTTCCTTTGCCCTCCTAACCATGGTAAATCATCCTGAACAAGATCATTCTTTTGAACAACAGGCTTCTTATTAGCTGAGATCAACTGAGATTAGAAAATGAAAAATACACTAGATGCTGAGAACTCTTTATGAAGCCACATTTGTAGGATGAATATTGAATGAAGATTAATGTGTTATTTTCAGCTTCTAAATCATTGATTTAAAAATTTATTTTCTATATCCCACTGCTGGATTAAACACTAATATATATGTGGATAGTTTACTTGCTTGCAAGTATTATCATTCTGCCATCGGGTTTATGTATTAATGGAAGGGAATGATTTTTAATTCAAATATATCTTGCTTTGCATACCACTTGTGTTTCTGAAAGTGCTGCACATTAAATTGGGTAAATTGATTATGTATCCCATTGAATTATAAATTAATGACTAGATTCTTTGTGTTAATGTCTGATCAATGTTCATTTGCTCTTTGGATAAAATACAGGATCCTTAGCACATCATGTGGACCCATGTGATCTGGACTCTGCCTACTCGTTAAAGGCAGTCTTAGCACACTCTCCTAGTCTCCTCTTCTATCTCCAAGCCCCAGCTACACTGGTTTTCTTCAAACACTAATACTTCAGACTCAGGATTTTTGCACATATTGTTTAAAATTTTAATTCTCCAACATTCTCTGCTTTTTAAAAATATAGTACATATAGTAATTACTTTCTTAATTAATTGTCTGTCTTCCCTTAACTAGAAAGTAGGCTCCAAAAATGCATGGATTTTTGTCTTTCTAGTCACTGCTGAATCTCCACAGCTAGAACTGATGAATAAATAACTGAATCTATGGATAAATGAATGAAGGATTCCTTATTCCAGAACACAGATTTCCCTTTTTGAAAATCAGGTAACTTAATAATAATCAAATAGGGATTATTTATTATTCAAGTTCTAATTTAAAGTTCACTCTCTGAGGACACTCTTCTTTGATCTCAAGATAAGATTAGGTTCTTCTGTTATTCTCATAGTGTCTATACTTCTCCATAGAATTTACCAGAACTTTAATTTATAAAGCCCATTCTTTATGAGATAATTTGCTTAAATTCTGTCTTCTCCCCTAAGCTGTAAGCTCTGTTAGGACAGAAAATGTTTCTATATTATTCTTAATTGTATCCCCAACACTAGCACAATGCCTGGGACATGAAGATGCTCAATAAATATCTTTTGAATGAAGCTGTGGATGAGTGATAGTTAAGTAACTCCTCATTGTAATTTTCAGTCCCTCTGTTCCACTTGTCCAATGTTCTAATAGAAAGAGTAATTAATGAACCACAAAAGAATGTTTTAGTATACTGGATAAATTCCTATTTAAATGCACACACACCTCCATGAATTCGGTAATGCTGTAGGATCCCTTAGAGTTAATGCCTCATAGTAACAACTTCTCGCTCCACATTATTTAATTAAACAAATACTTGATGAGTTTCTCCTCTGTTCTAACTCATGCAGAGGTAAAGAAAGTCTTGTAAATATTGAAAAACCATGGGTTAAGGCTATGGACTGCTGAAAAGACCATGGGTTTTAAAACAGAAAACATTTCCTGCCTGGAAGTGATAGGAGGTGGCTGGTTGTAGTTACTGGGAAATGATAAGTTCACGTTTGTGTGTGTAAGATGTGTACCGGTAAACCTGTGAAAATTTTCCATTTCTTTCTCAAAATTTGATGCTGGCTACACCAATGTTGGATAAAACGGATTAACTTAATGCTTTGTGTTGTATGATGGCAAACAAAATTGGGTTATTGATCTTGAATATCACGGTGAATTTGTCATTGTAATGGATACTTTTTTTCCCCTTTAACAGTGGTTGGCTAATGGTCACAAACAGGTACAAATAGGTTCTGATGATGTTGAGTAATGATGCTCAAATAGAGTTGAATGATGCAGAGTACATGGCAGTCCTTGAAAACTAAAACATAGACTCAATTCCATGTTCCACTTCTTTGTAGCATGCTTAGCACAGGTTTTCAGTTGTATCACATCATCCGTAATCATTACATATTGCTGTCCTTTCATCTTACCGAACTCTTTGCTTGTAGGTCTAATAGATGGGACTGAGACAGTAAGTATGAACAAAAGAATGTTTCTTCTTCTAGGATATTCACTGCTTTTTGTTACTTAGGGTATCTATCTAATGACATTTGACATAGATCCAAACACAAGGGCAGCCCCATTTAAGGTTTTTGATACACTGACAATCACATTGAAAGATTCAGATTCCTAATTATAGAACTCAATGCAACCACCAAAGGCACTCAGAAGTCCTAACATTAGGAAAAGAGATGGCCACCATCTTTCACCCACTTCGAGCCATGTGAGGACGATCAAGAATCCACTCATGCCAACTGGCAGCCAGGTGCAAATCAACCTGCCAAGACTGTACAAATGCAGGGACAAGCCCAGTCAGAACAGCTGCTTCTAGCTTGCCCACGCACCTGCATCATAGGTGCAAATGTCCTGGAAGCCTCTGCCTCCACACAATCATACCTACAGTACATACACCTAGAAGAGAAGATCTGAATATTCTTATTCACAAAAACAGAGACCTGAATACAGGAACACTATGTATGTGCACACACACACACATACACACACACACCCCACGCATGGAGTAAAGCACTATGCATACGCAGGTAGGGAAAGCGCACTTAAACACACATGCTTTTGGTCCTTACACAAGACTTCTGGAACATTGGTTTGCTTTTCTCTGAGCCGTTCACAAACTAGTTCTTCATCCCTGGATATGTCCCTAGTGTGGATAAAGCACCAATTTTGCTGCAGTCTTCCCCTGTCTTTTCAACTTTTCTTTGCTCTCCCTCAACTCCCAGAGGGCCGGGTGGCGCCGGCCGACGTCCGACTCTGGCGCCCTCCCCGCTCCGCAGCCGCGCAGAGGGGCGGGGCAGAGCTGCAAGCCAGGAAATGCCCAGGAGTGTGTGTCACCTGCCCCCGACAACTTGTTGATTCCCAGGAGCACCGCCTTTTTGGTCTGGGCCCCGGAGAGGACTCCTTCGCTCACCTGTCCCCCAGGCGCGGCCCGGGGGAGCTCCTGAGACGCCCCCGGGACCGCTCGCGCTTCAACTCCACAGCCATGAGCAAGTTGGGCAAGTTCTTTAAAGGGGGAGGCTCTTCTAAGAGCCGAGCGGCTCCCAGTCCCCAGGAGGCCCTGGCCCGACTTCGGGAGACTGAGGAAATGCTGGGCAAGAAACAGGAGTACCTGGAAAATCGAATCCAGAGGGAACTCGCCCTGGCCAAGAAGCACGGCAAGCAGAATAAGCGAGGTAGGCTCGGGTCTGGCCCGCGGGCACGAACCCTCACCCACCTACCTCCCGCCCTTCCTCTGGGGACAGTCCGCCCACAGCACTCCAGTCCCGCAGGCGGCCCGGTTTGTTCCTACAGCCTTTCTAGGAACTAGTATTGACCCCCGGGGCCCCGGCTATGGTGAACTGAGCAAGACACTCGCTTGATGGCAAAATGTTAAGAGGGCTCCAAGAATCTCAGTAACCAAGATGGACAATATTTTTAGGCAATAGTTAAAGGACTCAAAACTAATGCAAAAAAAAATAAATAAATAAAAATCCATACTGAACAAAATATCAAAATGTTAAATAAAGACAGGATCAATATTACTGATTTTTTTCTTTTGCCTCCAGCTCTTATATTGTTCTGTACGGCTCTTCTTTATTTAAATATCTTTTTTTAAAATGTGATATTTTTTCATCATGGATTTTTTGGTATTAATTTTGAGCTTTAAAAATAATGCATTCGAATATTATTTATGGTGATTACTGAGTTTTCTGGCACCCCCTTAAATTTTGCTCCTGGCTCAGCCCTGATGACTCCAACACTAAACATCAAGTTTTCTGCTGTATGTTTTTATATTAAGGAATACATTTTAACTAGCATGTCAATCTTTAGTAAAACATATTCTAGAATGTTCTGGTTTACCTTGCTCCTCAGCTGTTGAAAACTTTAGTTGAATGTTCTGCTGCTGAGATCTTAAAAAAAAGGTCACAGAATGAAATATTAAATTTTCTATCACCGACTTTTGGCACACACAAGGGACTTTGAGTCATTAATGATTGTTGGTGCTTCTCTTGCACCTCGAACCCTTTGTCTTTTGCCAGAATTAATTGGTTTCTTCAGTATACAGCTCTCTCTATAGCAAGAGATCTAAACAGCACCTGTGACACATATAAAAACCCAGTGAGAAGTTGAAGTGGTTTGCTCTTGTAACACTAGGTCAATGGCAGACCCAGAATAGAAGTGGTAATACAGGACTCTGTTCACCACCAAACCCCAAATATTTACATCTTCAAGTTAGGCTTCTTTAGTCATAATGAAGCTATGGGAAGATTTAGCTCTCTCTAAATGAGGCTGCCATCGTTTAATGAGAGAAAGGAATGATGTCTCAAGGAGTTGACCTTGTAAACCCTGCCTCTTCCCATAAAAGTGCGTCAGATACATTTATGCTCACTTACTACCGACAATAAAAAGGTAGTTTTATTTTTCTCTGCCATTGCATGAAGCTTTTGTCCATATTATAGCCTGTTTTAGAGCTAAGTACTGGTTTCTATTTTTTATTTTATGTCTGAAAATATTTTGGCAAGTTATTAAATGACAATTTCTAAAGAAAGACCGTGTCATTATGGCTTACTAAAGTCATTGGCCATTCTGTTGTTTGTCCCTTCCCATTCAGTTTGATATGCACTCTGACATTTTTTTAGTGTCTGTCAAGAGTTTTTTTCCCTTTGTCATCCATTTGGATCACTACATAGCTGTTTCTACAGTGGTTGCTCAGTAAATATTGGTTTAGAAACTCTGAAAAATTGAACATCTGCTTCTTAGAAGTGCTAAAAATGTAGATTTGATTTCAGAGACAAAAGCATAAAATAATGTGGGGTTTTGTTGATTTTTTTTATCAGAAATGTTCTCTAATTGGCAATGCACTGAAGTGTATCAGAAGTCAACTTTATAAATAAAGAAAAAAATTCAAAGTTGATGTTAATTAACACCACCAATCTAACTTCCTTAAATCAGGGAAGTTACTGAGTGCCAATAACCAGTTGGTGTTAGACAAGCCTTTAACTCTTTGTGCTTGGAACCTTTTCTGGTGTCAGCCCAGGCCTGGTTCTACAGTGGCCCTGGGAGTAAGAAAATGCTGTTAGCGTGAGGGCATCTGTAATCTAAACCACGGAAAGAATTCAATCTCAGGCCCATGCATTGGAAGTGCTGTCAATATCAGCATCTTCCAAATAAGTCAGATAACTTCTTTTATAAGGTCTCTTTTATAATATCACTTATTAGTTATAACATCTATTGATGGTTATAGGGATTTTGCCTATATTTAATATCCCAATCAAGCTTTTACACACTTGATAGAAAGTAACTTGGTGTAGTAGTTAAGAGCCTGGGCTTCAAAGCAGACAGCTCTGGTTTGGTTCTCAGCCCTGCCCTGCCACTTAGCAGCTCTGTGACCTCAGACCAGTGACTTGACCTGTCTAATTCTCAGTTTTCTTATCTGTATAATGGCAATGATAACATAGATCCTTGGAGTTGTGAGGATGAATGACATAATTGTGTAAAGCATTTGGTAAAGTGCTCTATAAGTATTAGCCCTTGTATATAATAATTGCATATTTTAAAAGCTGAAAATGGCCCACTTATTGGCCCAAATTTTGTCTTTTGGAATAACATTGAATAAATCTACTCCATCTGTCCCATGAAACCCTTTCACATAAGGGCAGCAATCAATTCTCCAAGTTTCCTGTTCCTCTACCTTTTCACCTCCTCATTGACCCCTTACTGTGCTGAGGTTTGCTCACCAGGGCCGGGCAGGTCTAGAATGAGGTGGGTGAGATTCCTAGGACACACCATGTGACCCTGAGAGTGAGTGCCCCCTTACATTTTGCATCCTATGTGCTTCTTTTTCCCCAGCACCCTAGTCCTGGTCCTGTTTCTTGCCTTGTTCGGGGCTAAGTAGCAACTCCAAATATGTAATTAGGTGAAAAGGGGTAGATACAGTCTAGGGTTATTGCTAGGCCTCAGGCTGTGGGGCATTTGGACTTAGAGAGATGAAAGGTTGAGACAGGAAGCAAATTTGGCCAAAACCTGTACTTAGTATCATTATACATGATTCCAGTGAAAACTGGGCGCTGAGGGCATTGCACCTCTTCATCTGGTATCTGTGTGGTGAAATGAGTCTTCAAGGCAGGGAGTCCTCCATGGAATAAGCTGTCTCACTGGAAGCCTGGGCTGTGTATTGGCAAGGGTGAATTTGCTTTCAGAACATTGGCACAGACTTGGTCTTCCTTGCAGTGGGAGTGTGTGCACAGTCCCACTCTTAGCCCAGTGTGAGGAACCTCCTCAGACTCTTGATTTTGCTTTTTATTATGCTTGTCACAGAGCTTATTCTGTGACAAGTAATTGTCACAGCTTATTCTGTGACCCTCAAACACTGGGGACCAGAAGGACATCTGTGTAAATGGAAACACAACAGTGTCAGCTAGACGAATGCCAAACTTGTGAGGGCAAAAGCAAGGCTTAGGTAAAATGAGACAGTCATAGACTGCAGGACCCTGATGGAAGTTCCCCTGGGAGCTATAACTTACCTGGTGACCTTCTTTCTTAAAAGAGTTTCTCAAAATGTGGTTCTTAAATTTCCTGCATCAGAATTCCTTCTGGATGCTTATTAAAATGTACACACAAGTACCCACTAAAGATTCTCATTTAGTAGATTGAGTGTAGGGTCCAGAAATTTGAACCTTGAACAAGTAACTCAATGACTCTGAGCCCCACTACACTTTGAGAACTTATGTATTATTCAGTGAGCTGTGAGACTGGAAGGGATTACTCTCTACTTTGTTCCTCCCTCACCCATTCCTATTGTTTCTCCCCTCCTCCTTCATCACTCGGATACCTGGATGAGAAATATCTATCCACCTTCCCCTCTGCTTACTCCTAAAGAAGCATTTAGGGAGCTTCCTGCAGGTCCTCACTAGCCACCTGAATTAGGTTTCTTTAGGAAAGTTCATATAGTTCGTATGATACTATAAAACTCACACTGGTTATAAAGAGGCTCAGTTTTATCCAGAATTCAAATTAGAACCAGGTATCCTAACACATTGTTCTGTTTGCCTTTGCTTATTTAATTATTTTGTACCGTACTCAATACATATTCTAGGGCTAGAGGAAAAACATTGAGTTTTATCCCTGGGGCATTAACAACCAATACCAACAATCAACAGGCCAGGTCTTACTCCCCAATCAATTACTACTCTCTCTTTTGGAAAAGATAAATCAATGGAAATGTGATTATTCCCTCAACCTCTACCTTATTTTTCCTTCCCCCTCTCAGAAGCTCTCCCTGGGCTTTCACCCTACAAGGGGGAACCTAAAACACTGCCTTAGCCCTGGGAGCCCTATTCACTTAGGCTATTGTTTTAAAACTTCTGGCTTTCCCACTCCCTCCTTCTCACCTGGCAAGGATCCTCTGTAGACTCTTGTTAATACAGTTTAAGTTTGCATATGCTTTTCCAGATGACTATATCACTTGCTTTTCCCCCATTGCATTTGGAAAGAGTTAAAACTCGCAGCCAGATTTACTGCCAACCCCCCTTATTTAAATCAATAAGTTAAGCTACATTTAGTATTTTATATTTATTACTCTTCAACATCATCTTATTTTGAGTTGTCTTAGAATAAAGATTTTTTAATTCTAATTTTATTGTCTTTTGTATGAGCTATTTCTTTTGGTTGGATTAGCCACAAATTTTATCTACAGCCTTTATTGTTGTTGTAGAAGTCTTTATTAAAATATTGAATAAGACAGAACCAAGGACTGAGCTGTGGCATCCACTGGAGACTTCATTCCAGGATGTCTTCTACATGACAGCAACAACGTTTCATCTAAGATTCAGCGAAGGCATGTTTGCCGGTTTGATAGATCAGCACGCGATGTTATTCATCTAGCCATGAATACACCTAATCCACATTCCTAGCCCGTATCATTTTATTTCTCCAACCTTTCCTCCTTTCTTCAACAATGCCCCAGTACACCTTGTGAATTATATTCCTAAAAGTGAACTATATTCACATACTTGGGGTTTACAAACACTGGTTTATGAACTGACAGAGTGTTAACTTCATCAGATTCACTGCAGAGCTTTTTAAAATGCCACACCAGGAGATTCTGTTTGAAGAGACCTGGGATAAGGTTCAGAATCCTGGTACTCAAAGCTTTCTGGGTGATCTTGATGTGTGTGATGTTGGGAGGCTAGTGGGTGGTCTTTGTTTTTTCCTCGAGTCAGCATCTAGTAACCCAAAGAAGCCTATGAGATTAGTTTGGTATTTTTCATCTCTGTGTACTCACATTGGCTTCTAGTA